TTTAGACACATGGTTACACAAGTTAGACTGTTCGTCTTTAGAAGCATGTTCTTTAGAGTTAGTTTCTGTTTGGCTGAATTAAAGAAAGAGCTGCCAATCAGTTGACCTGTAGATGCATGTTCGTTGAGGCAAGTTATCAGTTGATTGATTAAAGGTGCTTTAAAATTAGTTTCGAGTGGGTCTGTGGCTGTACAACTGGTATTTATTGACCAAGCTGATTTAAAACTGGTTTTGTGTGTGTGTGTGTGTGTGTGTGTTGGCGGGGGGGCGGTGTTTGTCACCACAGCTACAAAAGGGTCAGTCTTGTATTTGTGGGAATTTAAAAATTCTCAATATAATATCAAAAGTTGCAAAATAGTACACAGAAATCCTGTGTACCCTTCAGCCAGTTTCCTTAAATATTAAAATCTTATATAATAAAGCTAGTAAAACCAGGAGATTAACATTGATGCAGTCCTAGTAACAAATCTATATGACTTTTTCACATTTCCCAATTATTCCACTTACCGTTCCTTTTCTGGTTCAGGACCAATTCAGAACACCACATTATGGTCATGTCTCCTTAAGTCTTCTCTAATCTGAGACAATTCCTTAATTTGTGTCATTATGACCTTTACAGTTTTGAAGAATACTCACTGGTTATTTGTATTGTGTTCTTCAATTTGAGTTTGATATTGTTTTTTATGATTAAGGTTATACGTGTTTGGCAAAACTGCCACAGTCAAGATGTCCTACCTTTCTCGTTGCATTGTATCAGGAAGTCCATAATGATGACACAACTCAATTTACAGGTGGTTCTAACTTGGATCATTTGGTTAAGATAATGGAAGCCAGGTTTCTCCACTACAAGGTTACTGTTTCCCCTTTATAATTAAGAAATATCTTCTGGGAAGATACGTCGATACTGCAACATTCTGTTTCTCATTTTCACCCACTAATCTTAGCATTCATTGATGATTCTGTCTTGCAGTGATTATTACTATAATTGTTGCTAAATGATAAATTTCTCTTTCCATTCTTCCCTTTTTTAAAAAAAAATTGGAAGTCTATTGTAAGAACAGACTGTTCACACCACAGTTTTTTTTTATGAGGGCATCTGTGTTGTGTGAAGTTAATGCTTTGTTTACTTCACTAAAGACAGACTAGCTAGCTAACCCTTCTCAGTATCAGGACTATCATATTCTTAATCTAACTCAGCTTTTCAAAAACATACTCTCTTCCTCCTTATCCTCAGTTGGTTACTTTTGGGTGTCTTAGTGCTCATATTTGGTGGTAAGACTGAGGAAGCTAGATGACAATGGCATGAATAAGAACATATTGCCTAAGAGTAGGAACAGAAGAATGATTTTATTTAGGGCATAGTATTTAGCCGCTGTTGGGAATCCATGGAGAGGCATATAGCAGAGAAGTGGAAGTATGTGTCAGGATGCAACTAGACTCTTAAAATGGCAAACAGACATGTAAAGAAAATGATGAGTTTTGTGTAAGAGAGTAGAGTAGGGATGTCAGCTCTAGTAGGGTACGAGAACATGGTGTCAGACATTGCAGTTTAAGGACTGAGGAAAGTTTCAGTAGGGTTTTGTGTGAAATTTGCTAGACTGTAGTGTGTTGAAGCAGGGAACAAAGTTCTTTTTAACTTTCATTTTAGGTTCAAGGGTATATGGGCAGATTTGTTACATAGGTAAACTACATGTCACAGGGGTTTGGTTTACAGATTATTTCATCAACCAGGTATTTTTTCTGATCCTCTCCCTCCTCCCCATCTACCACTCTTGTTAGTCCCCAGTGTCTTATTTCCTGCTTTATGTGGATGTGTTCTTGTCGTTTAGCTCCCATCAAAATTCTTAATATGATCTAAAGGCCTTGTCTAACTTCACATAAGCAGGCTTGAGTTAAGTTCCTTTCTGTTTTTAAGACATAGGTGCCTTCTCCTCGTTTCATTGTGCCTTTAAATACTCATGTTCTTGCTGGAGAGGAATCCCATGCCTACCTCTAAGTAGCTGTGGGATCTAGGGAAGATTATGTAATTCCCTAAAATTGTCTTGCCAATATCTGTGAACATAAGGTGAATATTAACCTGCTATTATTTCTCACCCAGAATCTTGCTGTCTCCTCCTAGTCTCCCTACTTCTTCCTTTGGTCCCCATTGTCTGTTCTGCATGGTATATACCCTAATCATGAAAAATGAAAATCCTGTGATGTCACTTCTCTGTGCACAGCATGCCCTTGACTTCCTTTCTCATTGAGAAAGAACCCTGCTATCATGACTTGTAAGGGTCTGTGTGAAGCTTCATTTCTACTCACTGCCCTCATGCAGGCTGCCCCAGCTACACTTGTCTTCCCAAGCATCCTCCAGCAGCAGGACCTTCACATAGTCTGTTCCACCTGATTAGAACACTTTTTCTCTGCACAGAACTGTATAACGCCCTTCCTCATCTCCTTTGTTTAGATCTTTGCTCAGATACCATATCCGAGTGTCCATCATTGACTATCCTTTATAAAAATAATACTTAATCATTTGTTATTCCCCTTACTTTGATTTTTTTTATGACATTGACTGCCATCTCACATATATTTGTGTATTTGCTGTCTGACTTCTGCCACAAAAATGCAGACTTTTTGAGACCTAGCACTTTGCCTGTTATTCACTGTTGAATTTCCAGCACCTCCAACTCTATGTGAGACATGATCTGTGCTGGAATAGACAGTTATCGAGTTATTACTAATGATAAACCTTAGAAACCATTTATTATGATATGCCAGTGACTGTTCTGGGTGTTTTGTGTCTACTGACTCATTTACTTCTTGTAACATCCTTATAAGGAAATTGCGGCGCAGAGAAGTGATAGCTGACAGTGAATAAGTGACATGGCCCCCCGTAGGTGATCTTTATCTAGAGCCTGTGTTCCTTGTGCTTCTCTAAAAAGAAATCTTCTGTGTGAAATGCTTATCACAATTCCTGTCATACTCTAAATATTCAGAAAATGTTAGTTGATAATCATCATCAGCATCAGAATGCTGGATTTGGAGCCAGGCTGCCCATTGTTTCATTTTGAACCTCAGTTTCCTTGTCTTTAATATGGGAACTTCCCGCCACCAAAAAAATAAATAAAATGGGAGCCTCCTTGGACCTGTTTGAATCAATGACATGTAACGCTGGAACTAATAATTTTTTGCTGAGCATTTTTTTAGTCTGCAGAATGCGAATAATTATACCTTTCTTCTCTGATTATTAAATTAAGAGAAATATTGCACAGGTCAGATGTGGTGGCTCACACGCCTGTAATCCCAGCACTTTGGGAGGCTGAGGCAGGCGGATTTGTTGAACGCAGGTGTTCAAGACCAGCCTGGGCAACATGGCAAAACCCCAGCTCTACTAAAAATACAAAAATTAGCCAGGCATGGTGGCATGTGCATGTAGCACCAGCTACTCAGGAGGTTGAGGTGGGAGGATCACTTGAGCCCGGGGAGGCAGAGGTTGCAGTGAGCTGAGATTGTGCCACTGCACTGCAGCCTGGTCAACAGAGCCAGACCCTGTCTCAAAAAAAGAGAGAGAAATAGTGCACATAAAGTAGTTATGTGCCTGGTAAATCCTAAGTTGAAAATAAATGAAATCTGTTATACTTGTATAATAACCCAGTGTAGAATATCTACAGTAAGTTATTGAACTCTTTCTGAGAGTAAAAGTGAAATGGAACCGAATTGTTTGGCAATTTTGTATTTTAATAAAGTGGACATTTATAAGTCTTAGCAGAACTTGTATATGTGTAGCAAACTTTGCTTCCTCAGAAGATTGCATTGAAATTTTGTTGAGTGGTTAAAAAAACAATACCATTAAGCTACAGAATGGGAGAGGATATTCACTGTGTCTGACAAAGGCCTCAAATCTAAAATATATAAAGAACACCTACAAATCAATAGGAGGTAAAGGCTTCAAATCTAGACTATATAAAGAACACTTACAAATCAGTAGGTGGTGAAGGAGAAAAGGTAGACCATTTAGTAGGAAAACAAGGACAAAAACTTGAACATGGCCAAGGGTGGAGGCTCACGCCTGTAATCCCAGCACTTTGGGAGGCCAAGGTGGAAGGATCCCTTGAGACCAGGAGTTCAAGACCAGCCTGGGCAGAAAAAATAAAAAACTCAACAGGTACTTCACAAAAGGGGATATTCAAAATGACCAAAAAGTATGTGAAAATACTCACTTTCATTACTTTTACCAAAGAAATGCCAATTAAAATCACCATGCACTATTACAGTATGCCAATCAGAGTGAGTAAAACAAAAAAGTTAGAAAATGCCAAGTGGAGAAAAGGATATAGAGGAACTGAAACATCCCCATGGTGTTGGTGGAAGTTTGACTTGTTACAAACTCTTTGGCATGCTGTTTGATAATATCTGCTAAAGCTAATGGATGTATTTGTTATCCAGTGCTCCTAGGTATATATGCAACCGAATTGTGTACATATGTTTGCCAGAAGACATTTAGAGTGTTCATATGGGTAGAGCCACACATACACATAAAGAGAGAATGAGAAAGATAAAGAGCATTCTGGTCATGTTGGTTTGTTTTATCCATTCTTAAAGCTTAGCTTTCTGAGCAAGTAAGAGTACATACTGTGCAATCCACTGGTAAAAATTTAGACATGGGAAGTCGTGGAAGATGTTAGAAGTCAGGGCAGTTCTTCCCCTGAGCAGTGGTGGAGAATGACCCATGGGGTTGGAAGGACTTCTGGGCCTTAAGAGACCTCTTAAGGCCCAGAAGTCCTATGCTCTGTTTCCTTGAATCACTGAGCTGTAGCACATCTATGATATGTACTCTTTTTTCTTGCTAAAATGTTTACAAATTACATTTAAAGATTAATTGATTATAGCTTATATTTAAAAATCATCTTTCAGAGTAATTAGGAATGCTATACTCAAAATAATATTGTAATTGTAGACTATAAATTGAGAAAATGACTAATTTCTAATTGTTCTGTTTTGTGAATTATTTTTAGATATGAATTGAGAATTCGTTATTTGCCAAAAGGATTTCTAAACCAGTTTACTGAAGATAAGCCAACTTTGAATTTCTTCTATCAACAGGTATTAGAGGCTGCTTTAATATACTTTTTTGTTTGTTTCTTTGAATCCTATGTATTACGTATTTTTATTTTCAAATTTGATTAAAGCTAACATTTGGAGGAATAGAAATTTGTTGCTGAATGGCAATAAGAATCTTTTAACCAGTATGGAATTATTAATTTTTTTGTTCTTTGTGAGCTTTTGTATACTTGAGTAAATCTTAAAAGATAACTTCTATTATATGGAGACAGTAAGTCTACAATCATTTCTTGAGCTTTAAATACTATTATTATGCCTGAATATCAACGAATGTGTCATAGGTAGAGATTGTTGCAGAGCCGAGTATACCCATATGAAATTGATTTGCTTTGCTTTTTACCCCGTAAGGCATCAGATAGACAATAAATATATGTAAGGTAAAAGGCTAAAAATGTTAATAAACGTCAAAAAGACATTTGTACATATAATTTTGTCATTAAATGTACTTGGTAATTTTTTTTGCTTTAATAAAAATATTTATTAACTAACTATTCTGGACCTGAAATGCAGAAATAAATCGCATAATCCACACCTTTAAATTCTTCTGTCTAGTGGAGGATTCCTGTAAACAGTGACTTTATGTTTGATCCTTTGCTGTTAGTAAGCACGAATGATGTGACTGTGCATAGAAGAGTCTGCTGACCTAGTATAGATTTGGTATTGAGATGGCTCCACTGAAAAGCATCATTTGAGTAGTCTCCGACTTTGTAGAATAAAGAAGAGTTGTGTTTTCTAGACAAGAACACGGAGGGGAGAGAGAGAATGTGGTGCAGTCTTAGCTAAAATAGTTCATAACATTTTGGTGAGAGAGGGACCACAAACATCATGTAAACAGGGGTTTAGGTTTTCTCCTGCAGATATTGGGAGCCATTTAAAAACTTTAGTTAGTGAATGCCTTAACCAGAGTTGTTTTTGAGACCACTGTGATTAGATGGCAGTATCAGGGATAGATTAAATTTTTAAAGGGTTGCAAGCATGTTTAGAGGCTCTTCAATCATTCTGGCAAGAAATTAGATAAAAGTGAAAGTATATTATAATACGCAAATTTAGTGGATGGATTTGATAGGACCCAGAGATTGAACTAAAACAGGATGTGAAAATAAGGAAGAAAAAGGCTTATTATGTAAGTCTAGGCACTTACTGCCGTGAAAGAGCAATGGTGAATTAGATTCAAAAGAAGGAGGTAAGAAGGTAAGTTGTTCTATATTTTTCTATGTGAGATAATGATAGATGTTACCACTTAAAAGGTTCAAGCTGAGAGAGTAGGAAGCTAAGGAAGTTTCCAGCTGTTTGCAGGGTTGTGTCTGTTTTCATCTTGTCTGTGAAGAAGTCGTCACATAGGAGATAGGTTGGGGACTGCTGCTTTACCTAACACCTTTTTGGCACCTGCGACCAGTTTTGAGGACAGTTTTTCTACAGACCAGAGCCACAGGGTGTTGGGGGTTGGAGTGTAGGGGGATGGAGTGTAGGGGAATGATTTTGGGATGAAACTGTTCGACCTCAGATCATCAGGCATTAGGTTCTCATAAGGAATGCGCAACCTAGATCCCTCGCATGTGCAGTTCACAACAGGGTTTGTGCTCCTGTGAAAATCTAATGCCACTGCTGATCTGACAGGAGGCAGAGCTCAGGCGGTAATGCTCGCTTGCCCACAGCTCACCTCCTGCTGTGTGGCCTGGTTCCTAATAAGCTACTAACTGGTACTGATCCATGGCCCAGGGTTTGGGGACCCCTGAGGTAAGGGATTGGTGACAAGTTTTGAAGGTTTACGATAATACAGAGTTGAATAAGAGAGGAATTTAAGTTGGTAAAATGGAAAGATTAAGAAGGCATTTTCAGATTCCAGCTGAGCTTATTGGAAGCCTACTCATTGCAAAAATAATGTTCAGCTTACAGACTGGTTCTGATGTACTGTTACATCTCATCCTTTAGCAGTCTGTTGAACTTCATATTTTGCCTAAGGAGATAATGAGAGTTTAAATAACTCATATTTATTTAGCATTTTTCTTTTGGTATGTGATCTGTGTCACTATTGGTATTATTTCTTGGAAAAAAATTCTACCCACCAAGGAAATACATGGGTACTTTAGTAACACTGATTTCTGGAATGCATAATACAGGACTAAGTGACTCCTTTTTATAATTTCTAGGCTAACCTAAAAGTCTGCAACCTTTTTGTTCCTTATTCACACTGTTACTAGGTTGTCCTACTTTTTCTTTGTTGGAAGACTTTCCTATATGATAAAGTGAGTACTGCACATACCAGTGTATCCCAGATTTTATTTTACTAATAGGATATATCTTATGGTAGTCTATAGAATTCAGTTCAGCGGTTTTTATAAAACCCAAGAGAAAGCTAAGTGTAATGAACCTTTTAAAAATTCAGTCTATCCTTGATACTGCCATCCAGTCAGAGTGGTCTAAAAAAAATTCTGATCAAGACATTCACTAAGTATAGTTAAGTGTTAATGAAATTTTGCTTAAAGGAATATGCAGTCATGTGCTTGTTCTGTGTATAATAGCTCTGTGATTTTAGGTACCTCTGAGTCTCTTTTTGTTTAATTGTTTTATATATTAAAATATAGATATGGAATAACTATCCTATAGGACTATTATGTTCATTAAATGAGATGAAATTGTCTGCCATGTAATTGCCCAGCGACATTTTGAATTTCAGTCTGTAGACAGTAGCAGACTTAGAGGATTCAGCATTTGCCATTTGCATGTCACCATACAAGTGTGAGCTGCACATTATGGGATGGTACATAGCTTTCCTTTTTCCTTCCTATGTGTACTCTGTAGAACCTTTCAGCTCCTCCACCCCACTCTTTGCTGTCATTCATTTCTACAGTTTCTCTTTTTGTCTTTTTAATTTTTAAAAATCTGTTATCGAGTACATTTTAATATGTTTTTAAATTTTATTTTATTTTTATAGAGACAGCATCTTGCTCTGTTGCCCAGTCTGGAGTGCAGTGGCATGATTATACCTCACTGCAGCCTTGAACTTCTGGGCTCAAGCAATCCCCCTGCCTCAGCCTCCTGAGTAGTTGGGACTATAGGTGCATGCCATGATGCCTCGCTAATTTTTTAAAAATTTTTTGTAGAGATGGGAGTATTGCTATGTTACCCAAGCTGGTCTCAAATTCCTGTCCTCAAGCAGTCCTTCTGCCCTGGCCTCCCAAAGTGCTGGGAGTACAGGCATGAGCCACCATGCTTGGCATGGCACATTTTTAGAAAGTTCAAAAAATACTTCTAAAACATTACTTAAATTATCTGTATTCTAATAGTCACTTTCATTTTGTGTATCCTTTTATAATAGTTTATCAAGTACATACATTTTAAAAGAAAGTATAGTCATGGTCACTTTCCTTTCCCATTGGTGACTGGCAATGTCGTCGTTTTTCCATGCCAGTGTTTCAGGCTCAAGTAATGGTAATTGGAGGGAGTTAAAGGTGGTACCAAAATCATAAAAAGGGAAAGGAGGAAGAAAGAAAATACTATGATTGACTGGGTGCGGTGGCCCATGCAAGACCCTGTCTCAACAACAACAACAAAATACTATGATTTGTCAAAATTAATGAATTGGCAGTATACCAAAAGCCTTGAATATGTTCATGTCCTCCAGTTTGTTGGGTGACCCTATTGACTGCCATCTTTACTGTAAGTGAAAAACAGTTGAAACCTTGGCAGTTTCCTATGATTGGACCTAATAATTCTACTTTTATGAATTTATTCAAAAGAAATAGTAAGATTTACACATGTATGCATACATATACAAGGATGCTTATGGGCATATTACAGTAACAAGAAAGAAATTAGAGGTGTTGCAGATGTCTTTCAACAGGTTAAATGTACTGAGTTTCAAATTTATGTATCCCTCATTAACAGGGAGGTACAACTGTTCATAGATGTGGAAGGTATTAACAGCATTAAATGCTGTTGTTTGAAACAGGCCATGTGTATAACATGTATAATTTTCATTTGTGTGGGAAAAAAGCATATTTTTAAGTTTTACCCTGATCTGGCAAAGTTTTGAATATAGTATGAGTTTTTATTGCTGGTTTGGTAAGTAATTAAATATTTGACTTCTCCTGGTAAAGCCTCAATGCAGAATCTGCCCTACCACATGCTTGGCAATTCCAGAACTATTATGAGTGACCCATATATTGTCCTACACAGGCAGCACCAAACTTGGGAAAGGGTTTAATTCCAAAGTTACAAAATCAGTTTGGAATCCAGAGTTTTCTGCTATTTAAACACACGTGCAAATGGGGGCGCAGATAAATCAGTAATTGTCCTCATCAGCTTTCTATAGCCAGAGTATATTTATCTGAGAATGCAGCTGAAACATTATGTAAGTATTGTGTGTAAGAACCTTCACTGAAGTATGAGATAAATTAATCACTTTATAATGGTCTCAGAATGTGATGATATGCATTCTCTGACCTTTAAAGTCTTTAATATTTGATGCAAACATTTAAGATGGTTACATATGTACATAACATACTTCCACTGAATTCTAGGCTAAATCAGTGATTTTTTGGGGGCTCAGAATTTGATGATATTGATACTTTTTAATTCTGTAGATTCTATAGTATCTAATATATATATATTCTTTTATAAGGTGTGATAATTGGTGATATAATGAATACCCGTGACCCTACTGCTCAGATGAAAAGAACATCCTGATACTTTCCTGTCCCATGTTCCTGTGGCCCACCTCCCTGCACACACTGCCCTTTCACTCCACTCAGGGTACTGCTATCCTGAATTTTGTTTTTATCCTTCCCATGCTTGCTTTTGTTTGCCAGTTGTCAAGCTTTTACAACATGTTTTTATTCTTCAGTTCTACCCTTAAGGTAAAAGCTGACCTTAAGTTCTCCCATACACTTCTGTATTCCTGTCATTACTTGAGTGTCTTTTGTTTTGTTTTGTTTCCTAGCTCATGTAAGCATTCAAGAAGATTAAAAAACATTAATTTG